TTGATTGGTATGATATTGACAAAGAAGACATGATATTCCAACAAGATAATGACCCTAAACATACTTCAAGACAAGCAAGAGAATGGTTTGAGACCAACAACATTACAGTAATGGAATGGCCTGCACAATCTCCTGACTTGAATCCCATAGAACATCTTTGGGAAGAAATCAAGAAAAGACTTAGAGATCATCAGGTAAGAAATCGTAAAGAACTCTGGAAGAAGATTGAAGAAGTTTGGGGTAATGTAGAAGTAGAAACATGTAGCAAATTAATAGAAACTTTACCTCAGAGAATTAATGATGTATTACAAGCTAAAGGAGAATATACTAGATGGTAAAAATTATAAAAACCCTTAATATTCATACTAGTAAGCACAATGAGTAATTCAGTAATTCAATAAAAAAATTATTATTAAAAATTAAAAAATCCAGAAACCTGAAAACCTGAAAAATAATCTGAATTGACAATATGAGCAATCCATTTACCATGAATATTGTTGTGAGAATCTGTGAAAGAAATATTATCATAAATGAAGAATTCTTGAACATAATTTATAAAGATAATTATGCAAAAACACCTAGAGAAGAAGAATTAATGTTAAACATGTTAACAGAAAACATTGAATGGTTGAAACTTATTTCAATTAAAAAAGCTATACTCATTTGGGATTTTGCTATGAAGGGAAGCAAACAAAATAGCTTTGAACAAATAATAAAAAAATTGGTTAAACAAAGAGAAGATTATATTAAGCTGAATGAAAAATTTAGAAATGAATACATTACTCAAGAATTAAAAAACCAAAGAATGATTGGAGAATTAGAAAGATTAGATAAAATTAATCAAAGGAATGAAATGGAAAGAAAAATGTTACTTATAGAAATTGTTGAACAAAGCACCACAATAAGAATGCTTAAGGAAGAAACTGAAAAGTTGAAAGCAAAAGTCAAAGAATTAGAAGAAAGAATCAACAATTGGAAGAAAAGTATCAAATGAATAATCTTGAATATTTGGGGGCAACTGATACTTATGAGTTCTAAAAAATTATAAAAGGAATTATTAGTCATTTAAATAATTTTCAAGAACTAGAATTGAAATCAAAGAATTAAATTTGGGAATTAGAACTGAAAATTGAAATCTTGAATAGTCATTATAATGAAATCTGAACCTATGATTGAAAAGATTATTTTTGGAAAAGTTGTAAAAGTAAAATCAAAAATTGGGGAAATCCTAGAACAAAAAGATACTACAACCAAAGATGTAACAATTATGACAAGAGATCTTGAAAAGATCCTTGAAAAGGGAGATATGATACCAGAAGATATTAGTATGGTATGTTATTCAGAATGTCAACTTATATGGAAAAAGAAATTTGAAAAAATTACTGAAGATGAATTAGTTGAAGAATTCCTAAAAACAATAATTAAAGAAAGAAAAAAAAGACAAGAACTTGGTAATAAAATAGATAAAGAATTAAGAGAAGAAAGATTGGAATTACAAATTGCTAAAAGAGATTTATTTTATCATTACCCTGGAATTGAAAACTGGGTAAAGATAGGAAAAATCAACAAATCCATGGGAATAGGAAAAGAAAGATGGTTTGTAAAAGGAGAAGAGAAAAGAACATCAACAACATTTACTAGTGCTGATCTTCATATTTGGGACTTGAGAACACAAATAGTAGAATTGAAAATTGAATTAGATAAAAGAAATAATACCAGAAGAGAATTAATTGAAGAAGATTTTAAAGACTTAAGAAGAGCATTCATTAGTAAATTTGAGTTAATTAAATATACTGAGAAATTACAAGAAGAGTTACAAAGATTAAAAGATGAAAATGAAATAATTTGTGAAGAATTATTATACAATAAAAGTATAGATGAATAACATAAAGAAAAATTGGATAAAATAATCTCATTAGTAAATAGAAAGACATTAGCAGAACAATTAAATGAAGAATTACAAGAAGAAAATCATAAAGTTAGAGAATCATACAATCAACTTAACAAAGAATTTAATGATATTATTCCATGTCAACAACAAGAAATAGAAAGATTACAAACCAGGGAACAAATATTAGAAATGAAATCATCATCATTTGAAACAGAAAGAAACCTATTAAGTAATAGAAATAAAATATTGAGAGATCAAGTATTTGAAATGAAGGAAACTTTTAAGACAAGTACATTGAAGTATGAAGAAAAAATTAAAGGATTGAACGAAATATTGGATGAATTGATAACAACTTTTGAAGCAAGGACACTAGAATATGAGACTAAAGTTAATGAATTGAATGAAGAATTAAAAGAATTGAAAAAATATAAACAAATATCTCAAAAAATAATGAAAATCTTCAAAAGAAGGAAAACACAAGAAAAATAAAGGAATAATGTTTGAAATAGATGTAATTAAAAAGAGAAAGACTCAAAGAAAATGTTTTATTAATATAAGAAAGTCAAAAGACTTAATAAATCATTAAAGGAAATTCAAATGAATATTTGAAATAGAAGATTCTAGAAAATTACTAAAGAAAATATCAACCCTTTTATAATTAATCAGATTTTCAAAATCCGTCCAAAATGACACAAATAAAAAATTAAAATCACAAGGGAGGACCCTGTAAAAGACAAAAAGTAAAAATAGAAGATATCACGACTAAGTAAATCAATAAAAATACATTAATAAGAGTTGTACAAAATTAGTGGAACTATAACCATAAATAGTAAGTAATGTTACACAGACCAATTTGTGAAGAAATATTGTATGTATTTTATAGCGTAACAATAAATAAAAGTACAATGGGTTATAGTATAACTAAACAAATACACAAGTAAACTGAAATGTAACAATACACAAAGATAGGTAATACATGATACAATGTTTGTGTAAAGTTTCAAAAAGATCAGATGGATAGATAAAAAGTTATAACAAAATCTAGTCATATGAAATTTGATTATAATAATTAAGGAAAACTACAAATCTAAATATTTAGATAACTAACCAGTAAAATGAAAATCTGAACTGTGAAAAGTTTAATACAAATATAAACAATAATATAACAAAAGGAAAATAGATTTTGAAACATGTATAACTAATTATGAAAGAAAACAGATCTTTAAAGATCGACAATCATAAAGATACAAATGTAAAATTTGTGATCTTTTGAAAACCAACCAACGAAATTAAAAATGGTACCACCAAAAGTTAGGTACATTGTACAGCAATGTTTTAACCAAGTATGGATTTTGGCTGAAGGATGTGTAAGGAGTTACACAATAAAGAATTACATGATGAATAATCGAAAAAATTTGATTATGATAATAAAATCAAAGATTATTGTAAAAATCTGATAGAAAATAGGAAAAATAATTTAACCAAAAGAAAAATACTTTTAAGAATTATAGTCTGATTGGATAGGATGTCACACAATTGAATCTGTAAAGAAATAGATAATAAGATCTTTAGTAATCAAAAAGTGAGTGATGCAGATCATTAATTAAGTAATATGTAGAAGTTACATGAATATCACAGGATAAATATAGAAACATTACATCACATAAAACGTGACATTATAAGTAACACAGGAACTAAAAATATAAATAAAATAATAGGAATAAAATAGGAAAATAACTCGTGGAGATATGATAAAAACAAGTTAAATAAAGAAGGATTAATGATAAGCTGATAAAGAAACTTTGAGGAAATTCACAGACTAATAAATATTTAAGGAATAGATTGAAGACTGGATAAACAAGATACTCTCATAACAATGAAACTTAAAATCAAGAAAAACCAATTAGTAGTTATTAAACAAATGATTTCAAAGAAGCAAAGAAAGAACTAAAGGAGTCGTCAAAATGAGTTAAAAGACATCCTCGAAAAAGAATTAAGGAAGTTGCAAAGCAAGAGAAGCTCAAGTATAAAGAACAGCCCAAGAAATAATCTTACCAATTGACACACCGAGAATAATGATGACATGCCTTTTAATATATTCTACAAGTTTCCGAACAGAAGTATTCATCGTAAAGATATACTGAAAAAGGGCAGTCTTCAAATTCTCAAATGAATTTTAAGAACATAATAAATTGGGAGTATATACAGTGTGATATTATAGTAATGATAAAAATTTCAAAGAATATTTTATAATTTATAGATAAAATTATTTCAAAAATATCGTAATGATTAGATGAATAATTAGTGATAGATTTTTTACAAGACAATTTAGAATCATTGTAGTAGTTTAATAATATTATTTCAATAATTTTTAAATGTACAAGAATTAAGAAGGGGATTATAATTACGAAGAAATAGAAAAAATTGGTCAAGTTATAATAAGACATTTTTAAAAATGATTAGAAGAAATCAAAGAAGAAATTTGGAAACAAGAAGAAATAACGAAGTATTTAAACCTTTAAGATTATGTAAACAAGCAGATTTGTTTATTCTTACAAACAATGTACATGACAGTAATGTAACAATTTGAAACAAACATTGCACATAAATATTTTATTCAATAGTTAAATTGAGACTTTTATATACTAAAATATCTATGATTCCATTACGCAATAAATGACACTGAGACATAAGATTGTGAACATCCCGATAAACCTGGGATGAAGGATCCCAAAGAGATTCTGGACTTGACGAGTATTAAATTATATTAAGAGAATCTGAAAGAATATTAGATCTTGATTATTAAAAATACATATATCAGGGATAATAGAGAACAAACCTATTGCTCGACGATATTCAGCTATGAGAAGTTGAATTCTAATGAGTGAATGAAAATTCACTGAAAATCTTGGAACGGTATTAATCCCATGACGATGAGAATAGTCATGAGAAATTTGGAAGCAATAATTGCAACATGGACAAATGATAATTGTTGGATCAGGCACTAAAAGGTAAATAAGTAAGAATCACTGAATAATAATACAATAAAT